ATCCCATGTCCTTGGGAAGGACTTGATAGGTGGATAAAAATGCCAAATCCAGTCTAAACATCTGGCTGACTGTGTGACCTACCATAGTAATAATATACTTCAAGACCATTGGCACTGACAAAATCATCGTCAGTCAATTGCAAAAGGCAGCTTTACTTGGAACATCTTTTATCCTGCGATGATCCCTTTACCACCATCAACAACAGCATTCATCAATGATAACTACAATAATATTTCAAGTCCCATTATAGCACACCATATCTATGTGGCTGTTAGTTGAGGGATCAGGAAGAACTGAAAGCCAACCTTTTGATTTCTACAGCTTTCTGATACAATTTTATATTGGTACAGAGTAGGGATGAGGACTAATGGGTATAATTCAATTTCTTTGTTAAAATGTTTATTACTTGTGTTTTAGTGACACACCTAGATGATGGTAATACATGCAGAAAGGCCATCTTCATGAATTAAGGAACTAGATTTTTAAGTATTCTGCCCTAATCTATTCAGAGCACTGAAAGTAATAATTAGGACTTTGAATTGAGTCTAGAACCAGCTGGAAGTCGGTGAAACTGGTTTTAAAAAACAGTTTTTTTCTTATTGGATATAAAGTTGTAAGAGTGATGATATTTTACTTACTGGTCACATTATCCAGATACATTACATATTCTCCACTTATCACCTCACCCCATAAAAGGCACCATATTGATAACAGCCTGCTGTAACTCTGTGTTTGTGTGTGTGTGTGTGTGGGGGGGAAGCTCTGTTAACGCATCTTCATGTAGTATATTGTGGTCCATTAACCTGCACGTATATTATAATGTGATAAACCAGGGATGTTTTATAATTTGAACATTCCATACCAATTCAATCAGATGGCAAAGTATTTGGAATAAATCCACCACTGTATATAATCTATGGCTAGAAAGTGTTCTTCAGTAAATTTTAAAAACTCTTTCATTAGTTTATAAATGTTAAGAAAAATCTCCCCATTTGCTTTTAAAATGAAGCGCCTTAGTATGTATAAATAACATTAAAAAATTCGGGATTTTAAGAAATTATACCTATCTATATAAAACATCTCTTAAAACTACTGTAAGTTTTATGTACGCTAAAGTGGCCTCACTTACAGTTTCTTATGCTAGAAGTCAGCAGTATGCATGCATCTGGGACGGTAGAAGTCACTATACTCCAAACTGAATTGCATAATAGTATTTAATAGCTGAAGTTACACTAAATTAGACAGAACCCCAAAGAGCGATCCCTGTTAGGTAAAAAAGTGTCCTGCTTTTCTCCTCCCACCATGGCACATTCATATAGACACCAAAACAACAAACTACTAGAAAACGAGTACTCCGAGCAAATCAATGTGCAGATCAGTGAATATCCAATCTGTGCCTGAACCATACACATTCATATTTTATTCTGTTCCATGTAGCTTATCAGCAAGTTTTCTTTTCTTTTTTAGGAGTCAGTTGTAAAGATTTGGTATTCATTATTGTAATGTACCTATTTTTGTATGAAATAATGACAGGGGATAGTGGAGACAACAGCTAGTGGAATTCCTATGTGGAGGAAATAAAACATTAAAACAAACTGTGACTGGATTCCTTTAAATCTCTGCTGATGCACACATCTGATTTCCCTGTTCTCTCTGCTCACAGGACAGCGTTCTAAGGATAAATATAATTATATAACCATCACACAACCATTTCATTTAAAAATGTCAGGAGTTAAGTTCACCCGGTTATCTTAAAAAGGCAATCTGTATAACTAACAAACCAGACACAATTGGAAATTGTAAGCATTATCCAGCCGAACTTCTGCTTATTTCAGAGATGAAGGTAATGAATTCTCCCATTATCCCATCAACAGTACTTCACATGAAACGTGGTCCCTGTAGCAAACTTTACAAAGCGAATAACAATCCTTTATGTTCCAAGTAACCCAGTTTGGACCTAGGACTCTTAGCTAGTCTAACATTCAACACACATAGCTCCTGAATGTAAGTGCTTTGAACAATATAGAATTACAGTACATGTAACATGGAATGTCAAAGCTTATTCACACAAAGATTTCCATATAGAAAAGTCACATAGCAACTTCATTTTGTTTGAGATGAAATAGTCTTTTCTGCAGCTTACCCAGGTCAAATCGTCATTATAAAAGATATTATCACTTTTCTAGGAAAATCACGATAGTTAATCCAAGAGCACAATTCATGGTAAATTGTTTGAGCCAAATAAAAATAGCAAAAGGATTGTACACAGCAAGTGCACAGCTATGCAACTCCTACACATTCCTCATCCCAACTATTGATAAAACAAGCTTTCGTTTTCCAATTTGTTGCCCAGTTCTTCATTACTGCTACTAGTTTTATTTCCCCCCAGTTTTAATTAAGCACACAGTTAGGTTTATACTTATAACCTCATTGAACATCATTACTGCCCTGTTTTGTTAGACTAACAAAACAGGGCAATAATGATGTTCAATGAGGTAGAATTTTCTGTATAATATGCAGGAAAACTGTTTGCAGAAGGGATGCTGGAGAATGGCACACTCTTGTCATTCTCTGTCCTTAAATGCTGATGCATACTATTCTTCTCCATTTGATTTTATGTGTAGCACAAAGTTTCTCTCAGAGTCAAAATGGAAAAGCAGAAAGGGAAGTACAAGCTGCAGGAAGTTCTGAGAAGTATAACCAAACAATGGCCAAGTCCAAGCGTGTGTAACATTCTTTGAAGTACAAAGAACTTTGAACTATTTCGTTTGCCAGAAAGCCCTCTGAAGTGATTACAGAAAATTGCATACGCAGTTCTTGATTGATAGCAAGGTAACTGAATTACGTATAAAACACTGCCCAGTTTGTGGTGACGCTTTGAAATCTAAAGCTATAAATACATCAAGAGTGTCTGGTGACATCACTGTAAGCCACAACACACACTATGATTACTGGACCTCTAAACTTGTACAGGAACTTTTATTATTTATTTTAGTAACTGGAGTAGTGGTCATGTCCTGCTTGTAGATGTCCCAGAGATATCCGGTTTACCACTGCAGGAAGCAGGATGCTGTACCCGATGGACCTTTGATTTGATGAAATAGGGTCCTTCTTATATTCTTAAATAAATATTTATGAAAGAAGTGCCTAACCATACTATAAAAATATTAAACTTAGACTGTAAATATACTGTGAGAGTCTTCCCCAACCTCTTGCTCTCAAGAAGTATTAAATTCAAGCGGGACATTCTGAAGTTACTGTCTAATATATCTGAAATGTTGCTCTCTAAATTGGAGGAGCTGCTCTATGCTGAATATTCTGACAGATTTCTGAGTTCTTTGTTCCCTGCTTCTTGATGCTCCTCTCTTTCAAGCATTTGGCAAATCTAATACACGAAAGGGAACATTTCAGTGTTAAAATATTGATATGGTTTGCTTATGGAGTGGCTGTATGACTTGATAATTGTCTTTGGAAAGAATCTATGTGTGCCTGATAATTGGAAGAATGCCATTATTGCTCCATTACAGAGACAGAATGTTAACAAGAGTGAGTGCAAAACTACAGAACGATTAATTTATCAAGTGCATGGCTGAATTCTGATCAAAAGCATGTAAGACATGACTATGAAAAAACTTTGGGAAATATAGCACAACTTTATTCAAAGCAGGAAATGTGCAGAACAGATATTTGAACTTTAGCAAGGCCTTAGCATTGTTATGTGAATGTGAGAAAGTTTAATGTACATTTGATGATTTATAGAAAGCATATGATAAATAGGCTTGAAATATGAAATATTTTGCATGAATACAGACTTGACGGATGTTTAGTGAATGATATGAGGGAAGTAAAACATACGTGACAACAAATGGAATGCTTAAGGAATGGTTCAACTTTTTAACAAGGACCAAGACAAGGAGGTGTGATGTTCATGACCTTTTAATGCATTTATATATAAATGTATAAAGAAAGCTTGTCTTGATTTTAGAGATAGGTTAGTTGGGGATATGAATGCATGTGAACTTTTTATGCAGACAGTGTTGTGTTGCTTGTTAAGAATCTGAAAGATTTCTAGAAGTATTGGATTGATTGTCTGATACAACAAGGAGTAGGGATCTAAACATTAATGTATCAAAGGCGAAGGCAATTGTTTTGATAGGGAATTGAGTGAATAGTTTCAAGTTATGTATGAATAGCAAAAAAATGAAGCAAGCAGGTGAATTTTTGTGCTTTGGTACAATTTGTACTAAAGATGGGAAAATAGAGAAATTGTACACAAGTACCAATAGAGAGATAGTAGGTAGCATGTGGTCTTTGGTAAAGAATGAATGTTTGTTGAAAGAAGTGAAAAAACTTTGTTATATGAACTGAAGATTAGGTATGTCTGGAGAGATATAACAGTTAAATGCAATGGAAAAACAAGAAGAAAGATGCTCAAAACTGAAAGAGTGCAGATTAAAAATGGACTGAATGCAGAAGTGAATGACCAGTACAAAAGAAGTAGAGTGGCTTGGGAGTATAGAGAGAATCAGGAAGGATTGAGTTGCAAGACAAATATGAAGGTACCCTGAATGGATTCAGAGGAAAGTGAAAGAAAGGTGTGGCTGGATAGAACTGATGAGCAATTCAACAAGAGAAAGATGAAAAGTTCAAAGAAGAACAGACAATGTGTGAATTGATGCAGGTGCTTAATGGAAGCAATGACAGCGCAGTATGGAGAGGCACAGTGAATGGTGTTGGTGTAAACTGGATTTAGTTCAATTTCCTTTTCTTTTCCTTTATTTGCCGCCTTTAATTATTCTGATTCCTTTTTATTTTTTTCTGTGCTTTGCATAACGTTGCTTATCCCAAAAAGGAGTAGCATGGTAGATAGATATTTATATGTGTAAGATGACTCTGTGGAATTCCACAGCTCCCTGAGTACTTAAGTCACTCTTTCTGATTACAGATAGGTCTGCATTTTGTGAATCAGATGTGGAAAACTATTTTCTGTTAGTCATTAGAGAAGAGTTTTTTTAATAATCTTTTACCAGTTCCAAAGTTCCATTTCCTAGTTGTACTGATTGCACAGCTTTACATGATTAATGACTATGACTGCAAACAGCTCAGCTGAATTTTCATTAGAAAGATGGAAAGCATCCTGATGTGAAGCAACCTGAAATGTTCCTGCATAAATTTTATTTTGCTCAATTAAATCAATGAAACAGTTGCTGTTTGGTATTTGTGTAGGAAGGGACTTGATGAAGTAGGTCTTTTAATAGAGCTGATGGTATGGCTCTTCTTCCCAATTCTTCATCTGCTGAAGCCATATAGAAGGAAATAAATCACTCTACTGGTCCTGATAAGACCAGCTTCATTTCGTTCCCCAGTAAATTGAAGCATTCTCTAAGGCTGCAACTGTAGAGAGATGGATGGCTAAACAAATTGCTCTGTTGAGTCTTCCTCTCTCTATGCAGTTTCCAATCAATGATGATTATATTATTATTAGTCAATTTTATTAATTTAGCATTATTATTATAAAAGCTGCTTTGTAATTTCAAGAATGAAAGCCTAAATGCCCTGTTTTCTTTTTTCCATTGTCAACCCTTTTCCCTTTTGTGTTATCTTTTAGATTTTAAACCTATTGTAATGATTATTTTATTTTTAGTGGCTTTTTGCAAGGTGCTTTGGGAGCCTTTATTGTTGAGGAGCATGGCAAAATGCTTAAATAATAATTGCTATTATTATTATTATTATTTAATAATTGCTATTATTATTTTATTTAAATGTATTGGCTGCCCAACTCCAATGACTCTGTAATATATTATGTAATATATTATTACATAATGCCACATTCACATTTTAGTTTAGTTTAACCAACTCAAGCATGTTTTAACTCAGTTGTCACATTACTGTTGTGGCAAATGATTTTTGCCACCAAATTTCTCTTTGGGGCTAGGGTAGACTCTATATTGCATTGATAATGTATGGAAGCTTCAAGCTTCACTTTGTTAAATACCCTAAGCCAAATCAATAACCTCTGTGGAGATGTGGCACTAAAGGCGGAAGTAATCACTTGATGTACCCAAGAAATATAGCTGAAGCTTCTGTAAATTATCAAATATGACCTCTATTTGTGTGTGTGTGGTTTCAGCTACAACCTTATCACAATCACAGCAGCAAAGTGGTGTGCTTATTTCTGCTTAATTATTAAACAGCATACATTTATTTGTGATGTATTTATAAGATCTTTATCAGAATAAGGCCTCCTACAGTCTTTGCTGAAAACTTTCTCTAGCCATGATTTGTGGATGCCCTGAGTCCCTAGGAGCATTAGGAAATAATCAAATACAAAATCGTACTTCCTGAGAACTATAGCTTGCTTTTAAAAAAGAGCAATGTTTTCAGCCCTTTTGGCTGGGAAGATGTGTTTAAAGGTTTATAGAAAATGCCTTGTTGAAATTTTAGAATCTAGGGAGAAAAGCTGAGTAAAACCTCTATTATGTCCCAGGGCAATTGTCTCTTTCTAGACTAGCAAAATTGGGGGGAAAGGGGATATGAAAAAAAGAAAGGATATGCAATAGAAATAATATAAATGCTAAAATCTATACCATAGACCCTACTTTTCTTAAACTAGTACTTATTTGTTTTTTCACTCACTGATTCATGCTCGGATAGGTTCATTCACTGATTCCTTGCTTGTTTGCTTGCAATAAATATGGTTCTATCTATACTACTTAATTCCAGGGTAAACAATATTATAAAAAATTCAGGACAATATACTTGTATTCCCAAGTAATGTTAATTTTGACTTCTGTATATGAATACAGTATAAAAGGCTCCCCCCACCTCAAGAGCAGCATATTACTCCGTATTCATGGAAAAGCAACCTATTGAATTTCCAAATCTGTCCAATTGGAATAAGCTCTGGAAATTCCATGAAGAAGACGTTGAGCCTGCTGGCTCTCAGAATGGCTTTCCCATGAGTGTTGGTGAGAAAGGTGGCAGAAATCGTCCAGTGTACTAGCAAACTTCTATCTGAGCTTCTTATCAGGACCTCGGCTAGTTTGAGATAGAAACAAGGTTAAGGTAGAGTTCTAATCTCTAGGTCCACTACATCAGCCTGACAATACACAGTTCAGAATGAAGACATATGAGAATGTTTGCATTGGAAGGAGACAGAGATAAAAAAGGGGAAAGGTCAAGTCCATTAGTAGAAAATAACATTTTAATTCAGGCTGCATTTCAGAAGCTCAGCGTGTTCCCATTGCATCCACAACTGACTAACTTGCTGATAAACAGCCACCCTGTTGAAGAACAGAGAGAATGGTAGGTGTAGCTCACCCACTGGAAAATGGATTTGCCCGCCCTTTCCTTTTTTAAGCCTTCAAAGAAACAAGGACCAAAACAGGGAGTCAAAAAGGGGTTCATTTAGAAAAATAACAACTCGCCTGAAATTTCTTCTTTGCCACAAAATACTGCATTCGACGTATCACTTTAATGGCAGAGCGGTGATGTTCTTTCAGACTGTAAGAAAAAAAACAGAAGGGTTACAAGGGCAAAGCTAAGCAATCCACAAGTTATCTACTATTTATGCTACAACTGGATACCTTTCACAATATTAAGTCATGAGAAATGTATAAAATCTTGGCCCACTTATCTTCCCTGCTCTTTTTCAAGTTACCATCGGTTGCATTGAAAGGGCAGGGATTTTAGATTTCTCTGTTAGCCGAGGCTAATGCGTGGGCTGCAGCCACGCTACTATTCTGTTCATGACGCATTAGATAAATATCTGAAAAGCTCTTAAGAAAAGGAAACACTGATTTAACTGGAATCGCAATACATCACAAACTGAGAATATAAAACCAGCTATTAGAAGAAAGTTAGACATATATCAGCACAGTACCAGGAAAATAAAAAGTATACTTGGAGAACATGCCATTACCACTAATCCCAGCTGGACTACTAGAACAATTAATTTAGAATATTGGTTTAAAAGGGATGCCTCCATTTTGTGCCACATGCCAACCTGCTCCAGTCCTCAAGTAAATGATTGTTTAGCACCAGGTATGGAATCATATTATATA